TAATATAGGGTTTGTTCGTGAGAGCTTTTATTCAATCTAAAAACACTTCTGTAAATGGAACTCCATTCAATCCAGGGTTATGTGTCTTCTGTTTTTTTATTTAATGGTGTTTGTGTATCTGTAAGCAAAACTAAAACATATCAATCATCATATATCCACATACATACAAATTCTCACAGTGGCCACCACCATCCAAACATGTTTTCACACAAACATACTTCTGAGTTTCATGTCACTGTGTTTTATGAACTAAGAAATTATCATTTTTGTGTCTTTCTCTTAGACGAGTAAGATCTAATTATGCATTTCTGTTTTTATGAAAATATAACTTGTAAAACACAAACACACTTCTGCCTCATGTTTAACCCAAAATTCAAATACATATAAACATTCCTATAGTTCAAAGATAAATATATACTACTTCTATTTCTAAAGCAAAACACACTTCCCCATGCTAATGGGCTTTTGGGCTTCAAAGAGAACCTGTCAGTAGTCACTGCAAAAAACTTCAAAAACTCTATTTCTCCACCATGTTTATGCATGTATCTTAAAACAATTTTTACTATTTAAGTGAACAACTTCAAAAAACAGTTAGTAAAACCATCTCCTGAACCTGTCTTTCCTCACTCCCCCCCCTTTTTTTTTTTCTTTTTTTTCTTTTAGTTGGAGGTGGGGGGTGAGGGGAAGAAGGGTTGTCGTGTTGTCTCTCCGCTGTCAGCATTCATGCACTGAAACTGAACTGTTAGGTTAGTTACATGAATAAAAAGGCTTTACAAAAAATAAAGAATAGTTCTTAGTTTTGCTGCTCTGCTCTGGCTGCTGTTGACTTTGAGCTTGGTGTCCCGTGCAAGAACAAGTTCCATTCTGCTGTTCCCTAAGCATGAGCTATCTGCCTTTTTATATAATTTGCCTGTGACGTCTACCTGGGCAGGTGTGGCCAGCACTGCCCAGTTAGAGGTTTTCAGTCCTTCTCCCATTATGCAAGTGGTACTTCTTCTGCACCTCTGTGCTGTATCTTGGGGGTCTTTCCTAAATGAGTTTGGGGGCTTACTTCGTCATTTTCTTTTTCACTTTCTCTTTCAAATGCCTTTGGAGAGCTGTGTACTAATTAATTTAAGTTTATACAAGATGCTTGCTTCAGGGATGAAGTTCTGGTTTATCAGTGCTTGTCCTCTCGCAATCTGGCAGGAAAAGAATAAACCCTCACAAGTGGCTGGGCCAAACACAGACCAAAGTAGCATCATCTAATTAAGCACAAATACATTCCACTGCATGGTCTGTGGTTGGACCATGCCGCTCTTGAACAACTCAAACAGGACATTGATGAAAAACAAGGAGAACAACATAAAATGTTTATAATAAATGAGCAACAGTAAAAGTCTAGACAATAATATCTTTGTAATCAGAACCATCTTTAGTGAAGAGATTCGAAGGGGTTCCAGTTGTCATTCATTTAGACTACTAAACAATTTTTATAACAGAACTTCAATTTTAGAATTTTTGTGATTTGGCTGTATAAGAGGAATTATAGTATGAAGTGGTTGCCTGACAGTTACCAATAAAAGGCTGCAGAGAATCATGTAGGACAAAGCAGGTAGTGCACTATAACCAGGCAACAAGTGCTGTTGAAACGGAGCAAGGGCTTAAAGAGTTAACTCTGAATACTGATTCGGGGACCCTCCCGCTCAGAAGAATGTAATGCTTAGCTAGAATGTAATGAATGCTTAGCTAGAATGTAATGCTTAGCTAGAGACAGAAACCAGGGCTTAGGGATTAGATGGTACTGTACACCAAAAGAATGCTCACACACCTACATAAATAGAGTAAGAACACGAATAGATAAGAGGTGAAATAGGGGCTCGAGTCCAAAGTCTTGCAAAATTCAACATGGAGTAAGCAAAAATCAAGAAAGTTGAAGAGTTCAGCCGAGGAAGAAGAGTGAGCCGGGGCTCATGGGGGGATGGGGGAGAGGTCCAAAAAACATCAGCCCTTCATTTGCAGTCTTGCCAACTAGTTACTTTCTTGCTTTCTAACACAGGGCTCTTCTTCTGTGAGGCTCAGCACCTCACGTATTGTCACACAGAATCTTGTGTGGACTCGTAAATCAAAAGGTCTCTTTCATATGCTGCAGCAGTCAGAGAGGAGAGAGGGATATTCCAAACAATTCTTGCCACCTGCTGTAAAACTACTGGGACAAAATATATACAAATATAAACCCTGCAAAACAATCAGTGCAACAAAAAAACACCCATTTTCATAAAAGGCAACAGAAATATAATAATTAATAATCATAGCATTGTCTGGTATTTTGACAGTATTATTCAAATTATACTAGCCATCCACTCTTTTAAAGTCTTTCTAGTTTGGATACTATGAAGGAAGTTCACTGAAGATATCTCTAAAGCCAGTAGGACATCTTCAAAAGTCACTTGATTTAGAATTTTGAGTTTGTTTTCAAATTTCAGCCACATTTATAATACAAAGTCAATTATATTATGACCTTCTTTACCAGAGCCAAATGTAAGTTTTGATTCCAATTCTGATTCTTGCTTACCAGCAATACAAACAATAGATACAGAAAGAATAAGTTAAAATAGGCTAATGCATGGCCATGGTTGCTGTCTTGATTAACGCAAAGATGAGAAAAGCAATTAGAACAGTTTCCCTAATTTACTGTCCTGCATCATCCTCCCAGCCCCGGCCAAGATCACTGGAAGCCACAGTTTGGCTCCACTGCTCATGAGAACCACCAGTGACAGATTGAGAATGGATACATTTTGAGTTGTGATACAACTAAACGAATAAGGATCACCTGAAGTGATATTAAAAAGGCATTGTTAGTCACAGTAATCACAATATTAGGTGCGGCCACAAAGGCATATGAGTGACAGATGTACATCCTGACTGAGTTATTATACCAGTTAGTAAGAGTTAGTAGACACAATGAATTATCTGTAGGATATTTTCTTCTATGGGACATTTGGGCAGGCCTTGTGCTGCTCACTATTCACTGGTTTCCTTCCAGGATTTTTAATAGACAGCTTCTGCATCGGCAGAAATGGAATGCATCTCAGGCCTTTCAATACAAAGCATACATCCCCCACACCTGGGATCAAATTAAGGATTTTGTTTTGTTCTCTTTTTTCTTTTCTCTTTTTTTCCTCTCTTTTTATTAATATTATTTTTAACTTTTTTTTTTTTCTTTAAATCTCAACTGTAGCATGCGTGTGAAGGCTTCTAATTGTACACATGCACTTAGGATTTGGTGTTTGTTGGCCTAAAGCACAAAACGCACTATATAAAGAATTTCCTTTTTTTAAAGTTATCAAAACTAAAGTTATAGATACTTAAATTATTAAATAGGTCTAACAGTTCCACTGCTGTGCATCCACTCCGCAGAACATTCATTCATTCACCTCCCCACTTCTCTCTCTTCCCTTGCATCAAAGTTCTCCCCTTCTGCCGTGCAGTAGGGCTGCTGCTTTGACCTTGAGCAAATACAGCTGTGGCCTTGTAAGAGAACAAGTAAACATTATTAATGAAGAAAGTGTGAAAAGGAGAGGCAGCTGCAGATAGAGGAATGTGTTTGGACACGAGAAACAGCCGAGAGCTGCCACAGCTGCTACCAGCTCGCCCCCCCACCCTGCCTCCAGGGAAGGGGGGGGAGAAACAGCCAAGTGGCACAGGCTGTCACTGAAGGGTCCAAGAAAAAAACCCAGTTTAACAGATAAGTTATTATGGTACCATTAACAACACTCTGAGTTCACAAAGACACATTGGACAGACAACACAATTAACACGAGAGTTAACAGAAATACAGTAAGGCAGGTACACTCCCTAGCCTGTCCCCTCTGTCAACAAGAAGTAACGCAGCTCCGCAGGAGTTGTAGCACTTCTCCGGAGCTGCTCTGTTCCTGTTTCCCTCCCGGGGCCGCTCTGTTCCTGTTTTTTTCTTGCATTGCTGCCGCCGGGCTGCCCTCTCGTCGGCTCCCGGGCACTCCCACCTGTAGTGGTTTGAACCAGGCTTTCCCCCTGAAGCTAAGAAAGTGGTAACCCCCAGGGGGTGGTGACACTGGAGATTTGAACCAATCTGCGCTCCTGCGAAATATAAACATACCACAACCAGACCGGAAGAGACGAGTTGTAGTCTGGTTGGAGAAGAAGTGACCATGTTGTAAGACCACGAGGAGAGAGAGCAGGAGCCCCCCTGGTCGGGCTCCAGCCTCCCAGCCCCTTGGCTGGGACTGCAGAGACTTGGAACAGTGATTGACTGGGCTAAGTGTCTGTAGTTAAGCTGGGAGATGTTTCTCCACCGTGGGCAGCGGCAGGAGTAGCAGCAGCCAGCATTGACCGGAGAAAAAGCGGCGGCACAGAGCCAAAAGATAAGAGAGCAGCAAAACAAGCATGCAGCAAGAGAGAGAACTCCTGGAAGGAGAGCCGAGAAAGAGAGCTAGCAGCAGAGAGACAGAGTTTGGGGGTAAGAACTGCAAAACTCCCCTAAACTTTCTTTGAGATCCCTCCAAAATGGAGGGGGTGGACTCTTACTAATTAGAAGTCCTAAATGGAGTAAAGGAGCTAAGAAGCTCGGTTGTCCTGAGAGCTCAGCCAGGATGGTGTGTAGGAGGTTGACCTTGGGGCCCTCCCTTGCTGCAAGCTACAAAGAAGCTCACAGCCATCTTGAGGCAGGGCACAGAAGCTCTGCAGGGGGCTTGAGTCCCCTGGAGATACCAGACCGTCACAAAGACCCCCTGTGCTTCGTGGTATGACCGTGGTGGAACGACCTTTGTCCGGGGTGAACGTAACCCACAGAAGACCTCTTTGCCTGTGTCAAGGGGCCAAGAGGGGTTTGGAGGCCTCCCTCATGTGTGCTGGCAGAGATCCAGCTCCAACTGCTGCATGGAAGACACAGAGAACCTGCTGCCTTAGAAGATACTGCTGCTCAGAGACTAGAAGGGATCTGTCCTTCTTCCCTCCTGGACTTTTATTTGGAGGGGAGAAGAGATCTGATCCATTGTAAATACTTATGTCATGGTAGAGATAGTTGAGATCATGTGTATAATGTATTATAATATTTATTTATTTGTACTGTTATAAGTAAACTGAGGAAATTTGCTGCTCAGAATGAGAGAGAGTTAATGAAGTTACAGTATTGTATGGATTGCTCTGTTAGAATCATAAGCTGACATGTTGCATAACACCTAACCACAAGTTCCTTAAAGTTATAAGCTAGTTAACACAACGCAAGGATGATTTGGCATATTTTGAAGATATTTGTCCTAAGTGTATTAATAGGAACCCGCGTGGAGGGGTGGATCACGAGGAGTCCAGATGATCAGTTATCATCCCCATGGAAATTTCCAGGAGCATGAACACATAGAAATCAATGACTTTGATATCATTGGTGGACACCCCTCAGTAACGACAATTGCCCGGGAAAGGAGAAACCAACCCCAAGCTGGTCCGCGAAGAGGGAACCAAGCAGGATGCAGCCCGCGAAACTTCCTCCAATGGACTAATGACATGATTATGGGGGGGAGGTGACAACAGAGGGTATAACTGGTGCTGTTTCTGTTCCCTTTTCATGGACCGCGGTTGGAATTGAGGTTTCCCCGGGTCGCCCGGCTAGCCGTTTTTGCTTGTTGGAATTAATAAATTTTTCTATTACCTTGCAATCAAAATTCTAGCCTCATTTCATCGATCACAATACAGTCACTGTATTGGAAAGGGAATATATTCCCTTTCCCCCATTCTGAGTCTCGTGTTCTGTCTGGAAAAAAGTCATCCGACATTAGGTTGAGATGTGGGAGGGGGCTTAGGACTAGGGAATTAGATTTTTGAGGCTCTCAAACCATGACACTGCCCTATCCACACGGCCGAAAAGTCTCGTATTAGTGGCGAGGGGGAGGGGGCCTTCTCCCTTCACTGCCTCCAGGGGTGAATTGCTAGATTTTTCTTCATTTTCTGGCTTGAAGAGTGGTGACTTTTTAGAAGCCTGATCTTTTAAGGTTTCAAAGACAGTTCGCCACGGTTTCAGGACGCTGGCAGCATGCTTAAGAGAGTCAGTGGCCGCATCAAAAAGCACCTTCCCAGCAGCCTGCCAAATGTCTATGCAAAATGCAGTCTGAGCATCTACCCCATTTCATTTGCACCAACTACGCAAGATGCAGAGCACTCCTTCTTTATACTTAACACCACGTTTCTCTAGTATTTTAGTTAATACAGTCGCAATTGACTTCTCCTCTGTAGTATTTTGCGCTCCCATTATGTTTCCAACAGCTCACCTTCTCTCCAGGTGTCTGTAAATAATTAGCTCCGGACTTCGGCTCTCAGATCCGCCGACTGCTGCTACGCTGGGCTCTGCCGTCATCGCTCTATCCCCGCGGTCCTCTTTGCAATAAATCGCGTTAGGGTTTCACCAATTGACAATGGCCAAGAATGCACTCAGACGGTAAGTTAGCAGGCAAGGTACAACCAATACTTTATTTACAGCAGGCTTAGTTTCATAGTTTTTTCTTCTGTCCACGTGCAAATACCATATCTCATTGGTTATGTGTTCGTGTCCACGTGTCCAAGCTCATCCCCTTGCGTGCTGGCAAATCTCTAAATAACAGCTGTTATTTACTGCAGTTCTTTCTCCTTTTCTGCTTACTCATCCTCAATGTTTACATTCTTTTACAACCTCACAGCTGTAAGTGCTCAAATTCAAGGCTTAAGCTGTCTACAGTTTAGTCGTTTTCCCACACAGGATAAGATAGGACAGTGCTCTACACTAAAGCAATTGTTGAAGCCTTTCTACCAAAGCTGACAGAAAAGCAAGAATTCTTAATGAGAGATGGATGCAACTCCCCCAGACCAATGTTCGTGGGGAGATCTCTGCTCTCAACCTCCAGGACTGACCTTGGGGGGGTCCCCAGCCAAGGCAGGAATCTCCACACACCCCCCAGGAAGGATTCTGTTGGCAGAAGCTGCCCCTGTGAAAGGGGACTACCCCTTTCTGGTCGAAAGGGATGGACTGACAGTCACTGGACTCCAGTGGTTGCCTCACCATCAGGGGGTTCATTCAGGGTGGAAGCAGCGGTTGAAGCTCTTCCCGCAGCTGGGGCACTCGCAGGGCTTCCCTTACCGGTGGGTCCGTTGGTGTTTGTTGAAGTCAGACCTGTCGGTGAAGCTCTTCCCACATTCCTCACACTTGTAGGGCCTCTCTCCGGTGTGGATGCGCCGGTGGGTGACAAGGTGAGAGTTGTGCTTGAAGCCCTTCCCACAGTCAGTGCAGCGGAAGGGTCTCTCATCCGTGTGCGTCCGCTCATGCATAAGGAGATCTGAGCTGGTTCTAAACCTCTTCCCACATTCCAAGCACGTGTAGGGCCGTTCCCCAGTATGGATGCGCTGGTGGGGGAGGAGGTTGGAGCTTCGGCTGAAGCTCTTCCCACATTCCCCACATGTGTAGGGCCGTTCCCCAGTGTGGATGCGCTGGTGGGTGAGGAGGTCAGAGCTTCGGCTGAAGGTCTTCCCACATTCCCTACACGAGTACGGCCGTTCTCCAGTGTGAATGTGCTGGTGTCGGATCAGGCTGGAGCTGTCAGTGAAGCTCTTCCCACATTCCCCACACATGTAGGGCCGTTCCCCAGTGTGGATGTGCTGGTGTCGGATCAGGGTGGAGCTGTCACTGAAGCTCTTCCCACATTCCCCACAAGGATAGGGCCGTTCCCCAGTGTGGATGCACTGGTGGATGCGGAGCTTGGAGCTCTGGCTGAAGCTCTTCCCACATTCCCCACATGTGTAGGGCCGTTCCCCAGTATGGATACGCTGGTGGGTGAGGAGGTTGGAGCTGTTCCTGAAGCTCTTCCCACATTCTCTGCATGTGTAGGGCCGTTCCCCAGTGTGGATATGCTGGTGGGTGAGGAGGTGGGAGCTCTGTCTGAAGCTCTTCCCACATTCCGAGCACCTGAAGGGCTTCTCCCTGGTGGGAGGCTGTTCAGGGACCACCAGGTCAGAGCTCTGGCTCAAGCTCCGGCCTCCTTCCCGGCACAGGCTGGGTCTTTCCTCCTCAGAGCACCCCAGGTTGGCTTTGGAGCCCCTCCTGCAGGGAGATCTCTGGCCCTTTTCCTCCTTGCTGCCTTCCTGCACCGTGGAGCTGTTCAAAATGGCCCCTCCCACCAGGTTCTGCTGGGGGGATTTGT